GCAATGGTTTAAGTCTCAGCACTATCAAACTGTCCGTAGCCACTGTAGCAGGAATTCAATCCCCCGCCAGGGAGCTGACCCGCAGGGCACAAAAGACCTCTCCTGTCTGACCCACTGCTCCCCTCAGCAGTGTATTTCAGTGGCTCTCCCTGTTCTGCTCCCTGCTATGTCTCTGGTGAATCTTCTCATACCCCTGCACCTCTGGCCTGTACCCCAGCTCTTGTATGCATAAATACGTAAGTCTTTAAAAAAAAAAAGAAAGAAACTCCTTGGGGGAGCCCCTTGGCCAATATTGGCCCCTTTCTTTCTTCTAGAAGATATTACCAGAGAACATGAATAAGAGTCACTCTCTGTATGAGGATAACAGATCCAAAGCTGACCTGCCATGTACTTTTCCTTCTACTGACACCCTAAAAAGCACAGAATTTGGGGGCAGTGTCAGTACTGGATGCGGACATCAGTCGCTGTAAGCAAAGCCAGAATGTCCTCTCCGCCTTCATCCCTTAAGAAACCTGGCTTTTCCCTGGTGGTATTCTTTTTCTCAAAACCTCAAGAATATGCCACTTGTCTTCCCATATCCCAGCGGCTCCAAAGGGAGACAGAGCCGGCTTGCTCCCAAACTCCCCAGATATCCCCAAACTCCCCAGATATCCCCACTTCGCCTCCACTCAGAAACTCTCCTCTCGCCCTGGAGCTATCCTCCAGCAGAGGCACTAAAAGGTACTTGTGACTCAGAGGTCTTCCCTGACCATCATTATCTTGGGTAGTATGAAAATACCCAATCAACATCCTGCTTCACTACTGGCTGACTTCCTGGAGTCCAGCAACTTTTATTGCTTCTCTAATGACTTCCTCCCAAGGCTATCCTTGGGGCTCAGTTCCTGGAACTATTTCACCTCTGACATTTCAGAGTGGAAAATCCCCTTGGGGAGGGGAGTCTGGAGTCTGCCTTCCAATCTCCCCCTACCCCTCCCTGCCCCCCCTTCCCACGGTGCCTGCTTGCTGCTTTTAATTTTTTCTTTTTAGGAAACTTACAGCATCATTTTGGTTCCAGCTGTTCCCTGTGATCACTTAACTTTTGTGTACGTGGCAAAAAGACTCATCACAAAGCTTCTCTGAGCAACTTTCAAGCTCGTAATCCAACATTCATGCCTATGTCCCCATGCTGTGCATCACTTCTCCTTGAATGATTTAGAAGTCAGAAGAGAGAACTAGCGCATCATTTCACTCATATGCAGAATCTTAAAAAGAAAACTCATAGAGACAGAAAACAAACTCAAGGTCACTAGAGGGAGGAGAGTTGGAGGGGGGCTGAAGCGTGTGAAGGGGAACACCCTCCTGCTCCCCCACTCATCAGCCCCTTCGCTTCCCCTCACCCTTCTCTAGCATTTTCCTTGCAGGCAAGGCCTGCAGCATCAATTGCTGGCCATGGCCTGGTCCTCCCTATCTCAGGCTGAATCTACCACCAGCTTTTCTCTCTTCCTACTCCTAATCCGCTGGGTCCCACCTAAGGAAAACCCACCCTTGCCATCTGAGCAACCCATGGGAGGCTGTGAGTTCTAACATGCCAGGCCCTTCACCCACCAGGTTTCATGCCACTAGGTGTTCCTGGCCCTGCGGAGTCTTTAACAACCTCACACCACCTAATAATTCCATTTCCCACTTGTAGGGAACAGCAAAGCATACTGCCAAGAACCATAGCAGAGGTCGCTGACTGTGTGGTGCCCAGAATCCTCACCATTTAACCACCATGCCATCTCCTCATTCATAAAAGGAAACAGTCCGGGCTCCAGCAGACTGTCATGACAAAGACAGCAATAATGAACTTAGAGTGCTGGACTCATTATGTGACACACAGCCCTTAATCAGGAAGAGCTACAAGCTTAAGTGCTGACCGTGGTATGTGTACACTGAGTATCTCGATTCCAGAGTGAATACCAAGGACGTGGTATCGCACCCCTGGTAAATGATGGAGGAAAATTAAAGGCACGTCTCTCTGTTTCCCAAATATGTGCTTTTATCCATGCTGCATCCACATTTTCCTCACCCTTACAGACAAAGCATGGGAAAGACAAATGCACCCGATACTCTCAGTTTGTAACCCGGAGCAAAAAGGTGCATTTGACATGGGAAATTTATGAAGAAATCCGAGAAAACTCAAGATAAGAGCCTCATGGTTTTTTGTTGTTTTTTTGTTTTTGTTTTTATTTTTAAGATGGAGCTTTAATGTCTTTCCTGTTAACTCATTCCCAGGCATTTCTCTTTATAGCTACCACCTCCCATAATGCTCTGTCAAGAAAGGACTCTTAATATAAGGTCGCTTTACAAGTTTTGAGTTAAAAAAGCATTATCTGGCTTCAATGGAATGGCTATGGTCTTTTATTTTTTAACAGCCAACATTAAATTTGAGTCAGCTGTTTCTTATTTGAAACACATAATATTCTTATAAAGATCGTTTAAAGTTTCAATCAAGAATCTTTTTTTTTAACAGCATGAAGCTTGACGGACAGGACACTGAAGGCATGTATTATTTCTGCCCGCCCAGTTAAAATTATCCTCATTTTGGTAATGACACCACGATTTTTCTCTGGTGTGGGAACAAATAGTCCCCTACTCCTTGGCGGTGAGATTAGGTAGAGCTTCCTGACTGGTTCCAGCACATGAGCCAGGCCCAGCCAATGAGAAGCTCGTATTCCCTGATTGGTCAAAGAGGCCCACGGCCCCAGTAGAACTTAGGCCCTGGAATTTGAATCAAGATACTGGGAAAGAGAAACTTTTTCCCCAGGAGTTATTAAGCTAATAAGATATAAGCCATAAGCCAGCTATGTCTTTCACCACTTAGGTAAAGCTACCTAACAAGGGAGCCCAAAGCGAGATGAGAGTTATCTTCCCACTCTTTGGTGACCTGGGCCCAGCTGTGAGTGGGGTCAGAACCCTGGGGCTTTTTCGTACACAAGCCAAAGAAATTCCTCTTTGTTTAGGCCAGCTGAAGCTGGACTTGTGTCACGCCCCACCGGAAAAATCCCAATGAGACCTATTTGTGCCAAAGAGCTCAAATAATTCACTGAGACAAAAAAGCATGGTTGATTGTTGCACATTTGTGAAAAGAGCCACTGACATCAAGGTGAGTTCCCTTCTGTTTACCCTCCCTGCTACGGCACTGTGATTTCATGAGGCAGAGGGAGAGAGGAAAAAGAAAGCTAGATGAGCATGCAAGTCTCTGATTTCTAGATATCTACACACATTCTTTCCTCCTGGCCTCGAGTGTCTAAGGTTGACCCTTACTCCTTCTTGCCTGTTCTAGGTCCTGCTTCTATCAATTACGGACTCACTCACTCTCCCCAGACCACCCTTAGCTTTGTTTGTTTGTTTAAAGATTTCTTTATTTAAGCATATAAGAATTGGGGTACAGGCCAGAGTTGTGAGGGAGGGTGAGAGGATTCACCAGAGACAGAGTGGGGAGCAGATGGACTGAAATACACTGCTGAGGAGAGCAGCAGGCAAAGCAGGAGAGGTCTGCTGCACTGTGTGCATCAGCCCCCTGGCCGTGTGGGTCAGCCCCCTGGCCGTGTGGGTCAGCCCCCTGGCCG